CTATATCTCATGGAGATCATGGGTCTTTTCTTTTCGTTCCTTAAATTCAAATTGTAGGTTGCCTTTTGTTTTTCAATGAATAATGACTTACCTGCAATGGTGGCTTGCCTTCACTGTGTAACCTTAGGCCGGTGCGCTGGATAAGTTGGAGGCATTCACCAGTTTCAATGGGCCTGATTTTTATGGCCTTCCCCGGAACACGACGACTATCATACTGCATAAGACCCCTTGGAAGGTTCCTGAATCTTATGATTTCTCTTCAGGGAGCATTATACCCATGTTTGCTGGCCAAACACTGGAATGGCTTCCTTCTCACTTGCTTTAATCCAAAACAACAGTTTTTATATTATTCAACTTTTATTGGAGGGAGTTCGTGAACCTTGGAAAAATAAATAGTTCTTAACCTTCAGTAATTTGCCTTTGCAATGGGGAATCAAATCAAAGCAAGATCTGAAATGCTTCAATTCAGTGTATGAGACAGAGGGATCAACTACATAAGAAGTTCGTGCGGTTTGGCATTTATTCAGGAAGTCAGGAAATTAAAGGTATGGGCCAATCACGAGACATGGTACACATCCTCTATATTTGTGGATTTCCACTCTGGGCTTACCACTGGTTTACTTGGAAAATTGGCATTCCGGATTGGGAGTTGGTTATCCGGATCAGATTCAGAAGTTGGCTGGTTCCCGAACTAGAAATCGGTTTGACTTGGTGGCAATTGTCCAGAGATTTGGGTGATTAAATCTGTAGAATCGGCAATTTAAGTCGGACAACCGAGCAATTCTTGCTTATGTAGTTTTCTATATCTTTTTGAATAATTTGTTATTTTTTGACTCAGAAGAATACCATGGAGGGCAGATCGACAAGTAGATTCCGGGTTTTAAAACACTAGTTATGAGCCAAAGGGGACTTCTAATATTAAATCTGGCAATTATCTTTCATTTCTTTCCATTTCAGGGAAATTCACCCCATCACCCTGAACTGATACACTAATATATTGTCCAATATTACATGTTTAATCTAAATATATGATACCTCATATAATTCATAATATTTAAAATGTTAAATGTATATTTAGAATTTTATACAAGTGGTTAAACATATATAATTCTCTCTCGAAAATATGTATTAGATAGTAAGAAAACGTATGTATACAAAAGAAAAGATAAATGGTCTCCTCCTAAACAATCTTTATGTTTAAACTTTAAAGTTAAAACTTTAACTAGATTTTATATATATATTCTATTTATTTAATATATAAGTTTATACATATGTTAAAACTTTGACATATATCTTACACGGATATCTAATACATCTAATTATCTAGCTAAAGCTCTCTAGTTTTAAACCAATTATTTAAAATACAACGTTTGTGCATATATTAGAATCAAAAGTTTAAAATTCGATGGGATTGTCTACAAAGAGACTACTTACCTTTTTTACAAGAAAGTCACAATCATACATGTACTTTAGATTTCAAAATAATTAGTTGCAAGTGTCATTGATTAAATACAGGTCCAAAATTTTTTTTTCAGATTTCGTGATTCAGCTCAAGCCATCTAATCTGGCATCTTCTAATGAGTGGTAATAGTTGACCTCATTAAAAAAGGTAAATGACTTGTTTGTAGGCAATCCCAAATTTAATTATATTATGTTAGATAATCCCTTCCTAATACAACCAACAAGAAGAGAGAGAGAGAGAGAAATAATATATGCAAAGAAATTGGGGTTATTTGGTTGAGAATTGAATGCGATTTTGAAAGGTATTGGGTTTTTATTCCTCATGGAGCTGCCGATTTTTGCTGAAAAAACCTCAAGAAATCCAAAAATAGGTCACCCTGGCTTGAATACGGTTGCTTTTTAATCGATTGGGGGTTCTGTATAAAGATAAATTTAATTATCGAAGCAAAAATGCCAACTTTTCACATGTGCAAAGCAGCAAAAAGGAAGGAAGATGCCCTGGCAAAAGGCTTACTAGGAAGACTCGCTCGATTTCAAGAGAGGCTAGGGCGGTATGTAATTGAACTGATTTGACTCAACTAGTATCGAGTCAAACCGGAGATATTTTTAACGCTAGTGAAAAGTGATGGGTGTAAGTCTAAGATGAGATCCTTTGAGCTGAAGTGCTTTGATCGAGTGGAGTGACAGCCCAACCATCACTTTTTACAATTAGTAGTTGGGTGCGTGTGATTTATTATCCAATAAAGTAGTGCTCTTGTTGTTGCAATAGAAATAGGCTCACAGCAATTGGTTGGGTTCGATTCAAATAATAAAATAAAATAAAAAATAATTTAAAAATAAGAATAAAAAGTTTCTTCACTTCACTTAACCATCTAATTCACTTAACCATCTAATAGGTTAAAATTGGCCAGTCCAACATAGCGTAAATTAGTCAAATATTAGTTTTAACCAGTTTTTTACCAAAGTTTTTATTTTGGACCACACCATCCAAAACACCATTCAACAAGCTAACGGTGAACCACATAAATCTTTATGTTCTTATTGTAAGTGTTTTATGCTTTATTTTTCGTACTTTATTTACTAAAAATCAACCCATCGGATTTAGAGCTTCCACACGCAACAAGTGGTATCAAAGCCTGATTTGGAATTTTTAGTATGAAGGTAAAGGTTTCGAAAAGCTTCGAGAAGGAGAAATTTAATAGCAAACATTATTTTTCTGCAAGAATTATGAAAGAATTTATTTGATAAAATATGATAAATTCATAAAGCTAAACAATAGATGTTGGCATGGTGAGCAGGTGATTTTAATATCCAGGTGGAGATTGGTGAATTTGGTACTATCCAAAATCACCAACATAAGGAAATCTCATATATTTGTGATATTGATATTGATAAGTTTCCTAAAGGAAATAGAAGTCCAAAAGGATTAGGACTCTTGGATATATTTTTTGGTCTTTTGAGATATATGTAACAAGTTTTTTATTTGGCATAGATTCTTAACCTTAAATATATAGGAATGAAAGTGCAAAAAATTTGTGTGTCCTATTTGGATCACTATATAGGAATGGAGATTTCTTTTAGAAAGAGAGAATGGCATGGCCTATTGTGCATAAGATGCAAGGTTTCCTCTTAGAGAGAAGAGAGCTTCATATGGAAAGAAACATTGGGATGATATTTCTTTTAGACTCTCGAAGATTGATCGAGCTTGTTTTTTGTAGAGAAGCAATTCCCATTGAAATTTTGAGTGATTTTCCCTTTTAGTTAGAGAGAGTCAATTTCTCGTTGCTCTCATGTCTCGATCTGATGTTGCGATAATAGTTGCTAGAAGTAAATAAAACGAAGGGAGAGTGATTTAAAAGAGTTTGCTCGCCTTGGGTTTTGTCGGGTTTTATCGAGATTTAAAGAACTCTATGTTCTAAAATCTTTGATGTAATTTTCATTTGATATAGTAAATTTCAGTTTGTCATGCTCGTGGATGTAGCCCTTCTGAGGTGAACCACGTAAATCTTTGTGTTATTAATTTATCGTACTTTATTGACTAAAAAACAACACATCGGATTTAGAGCTTCCACGCACAACACGTATCACCCTCTCTTGAGGTTTGGATATAGCATAGAACTTTATCTTGTATATCCTTTGATACACTAAGGTCGTCTTTTGGTGAAGTCCGTTGCATGGCCTATTTTATTTAAATTAAATAACAAAGGGGTTTTTATAGATTTAAAATCAACACTAATAATTTGAAAACACTGTTATCGGCTTGTTAGAGAAAGGGACTTACAAAATTTATCGGCTTGTTAGAGAAAGGGACTTACAAAATAGTAAGTAAGAAGGAACCAAACCCCTGCTTTTTTGCCTCCATTTATCCCTCCATTTATCTCAGGTAAGGAGATCACAGTTACTCTAACCATCAAAAGTGAAATCTGACATGTGAAATTTTGAAATTTGACAACAACTTGGAAAGTGAAATTTTGAAATTTGATAACAACTTGAAATGTGAAATTTGACAACATGAAATTGTATGCTATGAGACTATCTATCTTAGATACAAGGTCACAATTACTTAGCAATCCAATGTAAATCTTGACAACTTGGAATTGTATACTGAGACTATCCATCTCAGATACAAGGTCACAATTACTTGTAACAATCTAATATAAAATTTGACAACTTGAATATGTCAGAAGGTTTGAAAAAATTTCTTTTTAACTTTGGCCTAGCCAATAAAACAAATGCAACCACCTAATTTGCATCCCATGGTTAAGATCAACTGCAACCTTCATGTACCAAATATAAATGCTCTTATCGTGTATTTCTTCGTAACCGGAACAACTTAGAAGTAAGTGATCGGTCCAAACATATCCCTAGCATGTTAGTTTTTTCAAACAGGGTTTAGTTTTCAAGCAGCGTTTAGTTCTTTCAGCTAATTAATGGGAGATTTATGATAAGAAAAAGTGAATTATTTTACTTCTCACGACCCTCAATAGACCTTTCAATGTCTATTGATACAACCCATAAAAGGTTAGGATGTTCTTTATACATAAAGAATTGTAATGGTTTCGTGAGGTTTTTAGTAGCTCCCAGTTTCGATGGCAAAGTTTTAGCTTCTGTAATGGTTTCGCGAGGTTTTTAGTAGCGAGGTTTTTAGTAGCTCCCAATTTCGATCGGGAAGTTTTAACTTCCCCAACTTCACGGATAAATTCTCCTACTGGTGCCTCATAAAAGGAGTAATGTGTACAAGTGAGTTGGTGGATCATAACCCTCAAAATACCATAATATGATATTTTGAGCAGTTCTAATCAGACATTAGGGAATAGATAAAGAAAAAGAATAACATGAAAGAAGGAAAAAGGATAGAATTGAACAATCCTTATAGTTTTGGAGAAACCCTCCACTTCATTTCCAATTTCCACTACAACATCCAATCGACAAGCTATCAAACACAATAAGCAACCTAACCCTAACCCTAACCCTAACCCTAACCCTAAGCTTACACTATGAGACAATTCAGTTTATTAACATCAAGCATGTAAGTAAAACTAAAATCTAGCTTCGGGGTGGTGAGCGCACACAGTGGCATTAGTAGGGGCATAGGCAAGGGGCCCAGTAGAGAAAACAGCAAGTGGGTACCCACTGTCAAGAACCTGATGAAATCTCAGGGGGGACCCTGTTATTCCACCGTGTAGATCAGTGGCCTTTTGACACGTGGCCAGAGGTGATGATGCCAAAAAGACCTTGCATTTATGGAAGGCATAGTTTGTAACCTTGTTTCTTGGGGCCTCAATGAAGAAGTACCCATTTTTATCAGTTTTGCCTTCCGCTGTCACCACTTGCTTTGAGCTATTGCATTCTAAACGAGCCGTGGCACCTAGAAAAAAAAAAATAAAAAAAAAAATTAAAAAAAATTAAAAAAAAAAAAGAAAAAGAAAAGAGAGGAATAACATGAAGCCCTCGGATTAAGTAGCTGAATTCATTCATTTATTTTGGATTTAGGGACTGTCATATGGCAGGAACCATGCAACACGTGTGAATCATGCACACATTGATTTTATCTACCAAAAAGTTCAGACATATGCATGTTGCATGGACATGCACATTTGCCTTGCCACCATGTGACATACACATGCATTCACATACTTTTTCCTTTTCTTTTTCCTATTTATTTTCAAACTCTCTTTCTTACCCATTGCAATAAATAATTAATCCCATGCGCTCATATAAATGTTTGTGGGCCCTTTTCTCGTAGATTGTCATTGCATGAAATCATTGAAATGACAAGAAAGCTGTGCATGAGGCCATACATATTTGCATGACGATTCATAGTTGCATGTACATGCATGTCATATAATGTGATCTACATGGTCATGACTCATGACAACAAAAAAATCGCTATGTAATTTGTCACTGTCTGATCAAAGGGAGGAACGGGGGAGAAGGAAAGTTGGTGGCATATATTGGTGGGATTCAGTCCTCCATCACTAACCAACCCACGGATGGAAGGTGGTGGCCTCATGGTATACTGTGATTGTGACCATGTGGGTCATAAACTAACATAAGTGTAACTAGTGAGTTCTCACATTCATACTCCTTGCATTGTCCAAATCCATATTCATACCTGCAGACCCTTGTATAGATTGGTTTTTCCCTTTTTTTTTAAAGAAAATATATTAAGGCATGATAAAAGATAACAGTGAAGACTCTTATATACCCATAGCAGTAGGAGCGGTATTTGAGACGCCACGTTATGGCACCCTACCGCCTTAACCACCTAGCCTAGTGCCTTAAACATGCTCACAATCATGCTCACAAATAACACTGAAATGAACAATACATCCAAGTAGCCTCATATCACACACATGCACATGTACATGTACAGTGAAGTACTAAACATATACAATGATACAAGCGCATGAAATGGACATGGAAAAAAAGGTCTAAGAGACATGAAGTTTGTGTCAAACAAACCTTCAAGTGTGGACATAAAAAAAAAAGTCTGAGACATCTGCGGCTTGGTTTGTTTGAAAGAATGCAAGCAAGAAAACGGATGCGCATTACCGCAACAGCTTTCGTGCTAGGCTAGCCATTGGTTGTTGTAAGAAAACCTAAGAACGTTATTGCAACAGCTGTCGTGCTGGGCTAGCCGTTGCTTCTTGCAAAAAAAAAAAAACACAGATGAGATATGCAGTTTTGTGTCAAACCAACCTTGAAGTGGGGTGGCTCCAAGCAGAGTGTCATTGGCTGAGTAGTTGCATGACTTGCAATAGATGACACCCTCAACTGCAATGCTTAGTCTCTGGGGCAGGTGCTTGAGGGTTCCCTCAAATTTAGAAGAAGCCCCAACAAGTACAAGTAGCATAAGAAATAGAGAAACCCTAGCTAAACTTGGAGGAAACCCCATGTTTGGAGGAAAAGGTGGATGTGGGGGTCATTTATAGAGCCTTATGAACGCACGATTCTCGGCACGTTTTGTTGATCGAGGTTTGTAGACAGCTAGCAATAGTTGAATTAGAGGAGAAGGTTTGAGGTGAGCAATCCAAATGAGTGGTGGTTTTTTTAACATTTGGAAGAGGTGAAGGTGATGAGTTGGGGAAAGGTGGTTTTGGTGACATTTGGAAGACACCACCAGAGCTTGGAGCTGTGAGATTAGTGCACAGGTGATGTTGGGATTTGGTATTATAGAGGCTTTTGAGTTTATCGGGGTTTTCGTTGGAGGATTTTGACAGGTGGTGCAGTTTTGCAGAATGATTTCACATGTGGAAGCTCATTCAGTGACCTGAATGGCATGAGAACGTGGTCTAGAGAAATTTTCCACTGCCCAATATAACGAATAAAGCATAACTCAGGTCTACAAGTCCCTCCCCTCCCCTCCCTCTTGAGCTGTGTTTGCCTGTAGCTTCAAATATGGAAGAGAAATTGATCAATCATCCCTCAAAACATTAGCAAACTCTGCATTGTCTAGGCTCCTGGATATCAACATGCCTTATTACCTTTACTCAAGTGCGAAAATAGCTCTTTTTCTAAAGAGAAATTGTTGTGATGGGATTGAAATTTGTGAGAAGGCTGCGGCGCAACATATAGAGCTGTACCCCTAATGGAAACTGCATCGTATATATTTTATCCAAAAGATGTTATAGTCCCTTGGGAGTACACTGTCAATTTACTCCCTCTTGTAAAAATCCCACCTCAAATTAATTTTAGTTTTAGGACCCTAAAATTTGAGGATCATCGACCCATAGACTAATCTAATTAAAAAAAAATTGCGTAAAATACACTCTCTACATACTTGAAAAAAATAATGTCTCGAGATTGAATATAGACCATCCAATTTTTAGATGGTGAGATCAAAGTGTTAAAAAACTCAAATTTCATTTTTTTTTTTTGGAGAATAATCATCTAGTGTTTTAGAAGGTTCTCAAATTTTAAATTGAAAAATCTTTCCAAGTAAATCTTATGCCGAGGGAATAAATGTAACGTATGCTCCCAAGGGAGTATGGTACACTTTCTTTTTTAATTCTTTAATGAATTTTTTTTATTAAAAGCTTATTATATCAGGTTGTAATATTTTTTTTTTTTTACAGTTTAGTTTAAATAGGACCCTCTATGCGTCAAACTCAAGATATTATGTTGTAATGCTCGCTACCGTCACTACCGAGCCTTAAGCCGATTCATGTAAGGTTACTTGTAGCGGTAAGGTTGGACTGATCAATACTACTCTTTTTAGAGTTAATTACGTACAGACTTTATATAAGTAGGAAAAAACATTGTGCTCCCAATATTAAATTCAAGGTCGGTTAACGTAATTTTTTTTTTTACAAAATTACCTCTCAATTCAAAGATGCTATTTTCAAACCGTATTTTATTTTTTCAATACTTAAGTTGCGGTCCACGGTTGAAATTCTCGAATCAAAACTTAAATTTTGAAAAAAAAAAAAAGCGGTTCCAGAATGGCATTCTTGGACCGCCTTTTTTTTTCAAAGCTTAAGTTTCGGTCTAAGGTTGAAATTCTCGGCCCGCAACTGAAGTTTTGAAAAGAAAAAGTGGTCCGAGGATGCCATTCCAGGACCGCTTTTAAGCTCTCTTTTCTTGAAAACTTAAGTTGAGGGATAATTTTGTCAAAAAAATAAAAAGTCCCATTGATCGACCTTGATTGTAATTTTCGGATATAAAGAGAGCATTTCGTATTTTTCTAACTTATTTAAGGTTCATGTCTAAATAACTTTTCCTCTTATTTGAACAATTAACATTTGACATCATTTTAAAAGACGTGCCACATTTTTATAAGGGCAAGCTTTCTATGCTTCCCCTACAACATAGAAATTCTATCATCCCTTTATCCAACCGTCCATTTTGAATGGAAGGCTAAGATTGCCCCAATCACAATGTCACGTCTCTATACTATTTTATTTTTAAATTTTTTTCTATAAACTATTTTAACACCAAATTTTGGACGTTCATTCCTCTATTAAACTCGCACTAGCGAAAAACATATAAAAAAATATTTTTTTATAAAATAAAATGACCAAAATACCTTTGAAATTTTCAAGAGGTATTTTGGTCATTATATTTTATCAGAAAAATTAGTTTTAATATTTTTTATAGGTGCCCCCCAATGAGAAGATGATATGTACCAAATTTCATATTCATACAATTTGTATAAAAAAAAACTAAAAATAAAATACTTTGAGACGTTGGATCTAAGATCAAATGGTGAGTAGCTCTCTTGATCAAAATTGGATGGCTAGATGGTAGGGGGAGGATAGAACTCCTATGCTTTAGAAAAACATATAAACCTTTCCCTTTTTTATAATGTCTTAAAAAGTATGTCAAATCTAAACTGTTTAGAGGTATAACATATTGCAACCTTACTTTCACAACAAAGACAACTAAGGTTGCCACCTTATATAGACTACACCTTTTTATTCGTTTTCTTGATTTACTGTTAACTTAGGGTTATGTGCGAATAGAACCCTAAATTATGGGGCGCTACATCCATTTTTTTTTTTTCCATGAAATCCTCTTTAAATACGCTTTGGCATTCACGAGGCTCTAAATATCTTTTTCTTATTAATAGTTTAATTTTGGGATGTGATAGATTTTTTTAAATATTTTCTAAGTCTCCCCCACACATTATAAATTTTCAAGTGATTAGAGCTCTAATATTGGCTTCCAAGGAAAATACTCTATCAAAGACTCTTTATATATGGGAAGGTGCAAAAGAATACCATTTCCCTAGGCACTCCAAATATTTTGTTATCATAACACCTATTTTATAATATTTCTTAACAGAAAAATAATTAGTTTGTATAAGTAGTTTACAAAAGAAAGTGACATCTCGAGGTGTTTCAAAGCATCAAATTTTTAAATTGCGTATGCGATGAACAAACACCGAAGTATTGACTCTGTCTGGCCAATGCATAAACAAGTTGAATAGGGTACAGCAAGTGGAATCCTATAACACTTCATGACTGCGGCCAAGACCATGGACTGCAGTGCTCATAAAATTCTTGAAACACGGTTTATGGGAATAGAAGAAAGAAAGAAGAGACAAGAGAAGGATTAATTGAGGCACCCCTCAAATATTCACCAGAAGAGGTCGTTTTGATGTCCAAAAATCTTCAAATGGTTCATCTTGACCTCAAGATGTATGGACATGTGAAAAATAGATTTCAAGTCTTAGAAATATCATATTTTATAATGCATTTTTTGAACAGTCAATTTTTAAGATTTTTAAATGTTTATAGATTTGCTCGATCTATACTAATTTTGAAGCTTTAAATTTTATAATTAGATACAAAAATAAATTTTCAGACCATCACAAATATTTTTGGTACTAAAACATCTTTCGGCAGTATTTGAAGGTGCGTAGCTTTGCCTAAAATTGCAACCTTAAACAATCAAAATAAGGCGCCCCTCCAAATTTTGTCCTAGGATGCGATTTTGGTGTTAAAATTTTTAGAATGGCCTGGGAATCTATTTTCAACTCTAAGAATAAATTTTATACTCTAAAAGTACCCCAAATGAAGTATATATATATATATATAGAATGGATAGTCCATAACATGTTGCAAGATGTACTATTTTTTAACTTAAAATTTTATTTTTTTCCTATATCCATATATCTTGATGCCGAGATGATCAATTAAATATGTTTTCAATATCAAAATAGCATTTTCTGATGTATTTTTGATGTACACCTTAATTCTACAATTTAAGACGTCAACCTTATATCTTGGCATAGAGATAGGGAGTTAAGTTGCAAAAGAACCCCAAAAATTCACATGTATATCGGACAGGGGACTATAAAATCTGATGCATTGTATCATAATAACCTCATGACTATGAGGTCATCACCCTTACATGGGTTGGATGTTGATGGAGGGGGTAGGTTCGATGAACTAATTGTATATAAACCTTATTATGGTTTTATCTGGTAATGAGAATCCATAAAAGGTTCTATCTCACCTTTAGTATTCCTCTCTCTACCGTACTGTCGAGATATTAAGTGCTTCTATCTCTATGAATTTAATCACGAACAATTTCATTAGTCATCTATTCCCGCACTCTCTCTCCATCACCATTCAACTCATTAATTAGAACAATCCGTGGTCACATTTTTTATCATGAACAATATTATACTATACTTTTATATAAGGGAAAATATCCTATTATCTCCTATTTCTACCTTCAATATCTCATCAGATCCAAAAATTAAAAATATTACTTGTAAGTAAAAGGACTCTATCTTTTCTATCTTGCGACCCCCTAAATCCTTTTGACCATGTATTATTGACTTCAACAACTTATAAAATAACTCTATATATCTCTCTCTCTTTCTCTAAAACTCAATCTCTTTCTCACATCATCGTCTCTCTCAAAACTCATCTCTCTCTCACATCATCGTTTTTCTCTCTCTTTCTCAAAACTCCATCTCTCTTCCTAAAACTCAAACTCCATCTCTTTCTCTCTTTAAAACTCCAGCTCTCTCTAAAATCCAAACTTCCTCTCTCTCTAAAACTCCATCTTTCTCTCACATATAAGAAGGTGTGCTCGTGTTCGAGCTCAAGCTAAACCCCTTGGCTGGTAAATTTATCGAGAAGTGAAGAGAGAGAGAGAGCGTTTTAGAGAGAGAGAAATGGAGCTTGAATAGGGAGTCATTTTAGTGTTTGTTGGGTAAAAACTTTATGGTCAAGGGTACATAGGGTTGTAAGATAGAAACGATGGGGACCGTTTGCTTACAAGTAATATTTTCAATTATTGGGTCTCATGAGATATAGAAGTTAAAAATGGGGGATAAGGAGATATTTTTCCTTTATATAAAGGGGAAGCCGATGCCCAAATCTAGTCCCAGCTTAACCACTTAAATAGTAGTAATTCATTTAAGAAGCGTATTTGGTATGCGTGAAAATACTTCCATGAAAATATTTTCAAAAGAAAAAACTCCCTCATGTGGTTGATTAGGTGTAAAAAATTTTCACATCAATTGACTGCCAATTAGTGTTTAAAAAATGTGTTGGGACTGGTGTGAAAAAGGTATCACGCCTAATCACATTAAGAATTTGGAAAAATTGCATAAAAGCCCCCAAATGTGAAATCAATTTACCCCCCAACCTAACTTTTCCTAGCAACTTCCTCCCAAGAAACCATGTTTCCTAGCAAATATCCCTAATACAAAAGTTCATTTTTTTGACGAAAATACCCTTTTCTTACCCAACAAATCATTTTTGCTAGAAAAGGCGGTTCAATGTTTGGAAGACACAATCCGACGATTATTTTGCTACAATGAGCGATCCAACGTTTCATTATGGCGGCCTGGGGATTATGCTATTGGAGAAGTGGCATTGTCCAGGTTTTGAAAAAGTGGTCCAGCATTTTGAAGGGCAGTCCGACATTTTGAAGTGGCGGTACGGCATTTTGAAGGGGCAGTCCAGCGTTTTAAAGAGGCAGTCCGGTGTTTTGAAATGAGCAGTCCGGCGTTATACAAGTGCAGTCCGACGTTTCCTTTTATTGGGATCCGAAAATGATTTGTTATGTACGGGAATGATATTTTCGTAAAAAAAAAATGAACGTTTTGTAGTGGGGGTATTTGCTAGGAAACCTAGTTTTTAGGAAGGAAGTTGCTAGGAAAAGTTAGGTGGTTTTGTATTAGGGGTATTTACTAGGAAACATGAGAAGGAAGTTGCTAGGAAAAGTTAGGTGGGGTTAAATTGATTAGAAAGTCTATTAGGAGGTTTTATGCAATTTTTCTAAGAATTTTTTCATATAAAATTTTTTTTTAAAGGTATTTTCATGCATACCAAACATGGACGGTTCGAGCACGTTCATTACCGCTAAATTCTAATGTCTGTATGGTGCATATCTAATGTCTATACCTCTACCATCATGCAAGAAAAATACAAACATTATGCTTGATGTAACCTTATCATTCCTTCATTAATTGCAGATCGTTGCGATGAACCATTCCAGTGCTCAAGCGGATCATGGAGAACACATTAACCAAAGGAAAAAATAAAAAATAAACGATGCTGGTAGTTACTTTAGTCCACAATGAAGAAATACAACTTTTCGTAAATATAAAATTACTTTATCATTTGAATTCTATTATAAATATTAACTATCATCATTTTCATTGGAGCATTTTTTCAACTATTTGAGGTCAATTGCACGAATCCGCCATTCTGCTCTATCGAGGGCTATACCCTCAATGAAGCTTAAGTTTTCAAATCTTTTCTCACTACTTCCAACTATGCCATTTTGGGGTTATCCTTTATCTTTTTTTAACCTTCCACTTGAACCAACTTGCCATTCTTAATAGGATTCGTATTGGATCTGTACTACATAAGGCCAGTCCATCTAAGTTTACTTTATCTCATCTTATTGATTGCAGCCACGCTCCAGTTCTCACACATTTCGAATTCTATCCCTTCTTGTCTTGCCACTCATGCATCTCAATATCGTCATCCTATCATCCTAGCTACATCTATCATATATATATGTTATTCATTGACTGTCCAACATTCCGCCCCATAAAGCAAAATTGATCTCACAACTGTCCTATTTAACTTTCCTTTCAATTTCATAAATAATACGGTGATCACATAAAATTCCAATTGCACATCTCCACTTAACCCACCCAATACTATTTTATAAATATTAATGGAACACTAAATATTTAAATTTCATTTAGGAAAAAAAAAAATGTCAAAATAATTTCCCATGATCATATTAGAGTTTAATACGTTTCCATTTGTAGTTTTACCCAAGTATAATTGGAAGGAACTTCGGGATCAGGCAGGAACTAATCTACCTTGGTGTGTAATAGGTGATTTCAACACAGTCTCTTTGCAAACCGAAAAGTTCAGTATCAAGCCCCCAAATCCCACTGCTGTAGCGGAGTTTCAGGATATGCTACTCGACACAGGCCTGCTGGACATTGGATTCAGAGGCAGTAATTCTACCTGAACCAACAACAGACAGGGCTCCAAATATGTAGCGGCTCGACTTGACAGAGCTTTGGTAAATCCCACTTGGGCCACCGCCTTTAAAAAGACTTCTCTTCATCGGTTAGGAAATAAAAAAGGGCAAAGGACACTAGAAAAATTAATCACTTCTATTAAGCTTCCCTCTCATAGTTCACATATATCAACTATTGTTGGATTAGCTACCCATTATTCGCAAAAATTTCCAAAAGATGGGGCTCAAAAAATTTGAGTTTCAAACATAACATCCATGAATTTGGTTTCCATTGACATCCCTTGGCTTTCTCATTCGAATAGTGGCCCTTACTCCCTTGCTTATGCTTCTTTAAGGGCTAATGATAACTAGAGTAAATATGAGTTTCTTGGCTGTCGTCCCATGATTGCTTCCTTTCAATGTCTCATTGTATACAATACCACATTACATTTGCTGGAAAACAATGGCAAAAAACATCAACCAAATTGATTTCCAATGCAGACATAATTCACGGGGGAGTCCGGTCAGCATACGAGTATATAAACTTTATAGCTCATTATCAATACTGGTATACATCAAATTATTATCAAAAGTTCAACTCATATCTTACTGATTAGATTTCTCACTCTAAGAATATCCAGTGCTTGTACAAAATGTGCTCAATCAATGTCCACTGAAAACCTACTCAGCAGTTTCAAAAAGAAATGAACAAAAAAAGAGAAGAATAAAAGCCAATACACCTACTCAGCAGTTTCAAAAAGAAAAGAACAAAAAAAGAGAAAAGTAAAAGCCAATACATGTATCGACTAACAATAAATAATAAACAAGTACAAGAACAGTGACAGTACTCTGGAACATGACTGTTTCATCATCATGAAATGTGGCGGACCACCACTCTTATGAACTAAAGCTCATCCCCTCACGAAGGATGCAACGAACAAGAATACATAAGCTCCTTAACAACAACAAAAAACACTATTGAGACCAAGCCAGCCATACCTTGCCCATAAACTGCGGAAAATTGGTCTCCAGTCTCAAAACCACCTCTTTCTTTGATACTCTCTAGAGAATATGGTAGTATCCTAGAACCAAAAGCACCAGAATTAGCAAAGCACCAGGAGCAATCCAAATCCAGTAATTCATTGACCGCTTCTTCTTGAGAATGCCTCTCGGAACGGGATTCTGTGCTTTTGATCTACTCCTGAATCTGACAGTGTCCTTTGATTCTTTAGTCTTTAATGTGACTGGGGCTTCAACCTTTTCAGAAGCTACTGTTTCAGATTGAACTGGTTTGGCATCTACTTCGGTTTGCTCAACTTCAGCTTCCTCAGTGTCATTCAATGGAACAAAGGCCCCTGCCTTCTTCTTTGCTTTCTTTTCACGCTCCTGAAAAGGATTTTTCAGGGGCCATTAATAGTCTCTTCAAATTGTAAGAGTATGCTGATGTGTGTGGGCTTGAATGTAGGGAAAAGAAGAACATCTGAACAAGAGCTCACCGCACTTATACACACAAACATATATATACAGGAAAATGATTATATAGTCTAATGGACTTATATTGCGGCATTAGCCACTACAAAAAGTGGCTATGCGTGTACACACACACACATACACACTCATAAAGAGAGAGAGGGTGTGCAACCCACATTCTTTCCCCCTTTTTCCCTTTACGGGCAAGCTTTCTATGCTTCCCCTACAACATAAAACTTATATACTTCCCCTTATCCAACCGTCTATTCTGAATGGAGGGCTAAGCTTGCCCCAATCACAATGTCACATCTCTACACTATATTATTTTTAAATTTTTTTTCTATAAACTTTTTTGGCACCAAATTTTATACGTCCAATCCTCTATTAAACTCGCACTAGAAAAAAATATAAAAAAAAAAATTCCAATAAAATAAAATGACCAAAATACCCTTGAAAGATTTTTGGGATATTTTGGTCATTATATTTTATCGAAAATTTATTTTTAAATTTTTTATAGGTGCACCTCAATGAGAAGATGGAACGTACCAAATTTCATATTCATACAATTTGTATAAAAAAAAATTAAAAATAAAATCATTGAGACATTGAATCTAAAAGCAAACGGTGAGTGCCTATCTTGATCAAAATTGGACAGCTGTATGGTAGGGGATGCATAGATCTTCTATGCTGTAGGGGAAGTATAGAAACCTTTCCCTTCACATATTTGTCTTCTCTTTCTAAAACTCAGTATACACAAATATGGCAGAGAGAGAGAGAGAATTTCACTTGCCTTGAGCTTTTTCTCTGATTCCTTTTGAGCCCTAATGGCAGCCTTTGCAGCAGCCTTCTCAGCTGCCTTCTTTTTCCTCTCCATGGCCAACTTAGCTTTCAAAATTTCCTCTTCTCTCGTCATCTCCTTTAGCTTTGCAGGGTCGATAGAAACATTGGCTGAAAACTCCTTGTGACTTTCGGGAACGTAGAAGTCCTCAACCTCATGTGGGCTGATCTCCTTTGCTTTTGACTCGACCTCGGCCACTCTCTTACTATCATCGATTTGAGCTTTGGAAGCAATGGTGGGCTCTTGTACAGGAGGATTTACTTCTTTCGGTTTCTTTGCATTTGGCTTCACAGATACAGCAATTGACTCGGTAGGAGCAGGTTCTTCAGGAGCTATCAAAGGCTTTTCATCAGGGTTCCTCATCCGACCATCTCTACTCATTTGTCGGTTATCAAGAGAAGGCAAGATCCTCTTCTCATAGTCATCTCTAACAGCTTTGCTACTGCTCCACAGAGCCATAAATTTCTCGGTCTGGCAATTGAAAATATCAAATCAGTACTATTTTTGGACTAAATGAAAAAAAACCAATTATGAGACCATAATTATCCATCAAGGCAATTATAAATATAAACTCAGTCCGAGTTGAACTGGCCTAAGTTACTGCCAAGTCCAGACTCTAGAACCAAAACCAGGGGAGCACGCTGGGTCTGGCCGTTCCCAGTACTTTATTATCTTTTTGCTTGAAGTCGGTCAAGTCTCAGACAGACACGGTCAAGTCTGTCTAACTCAGGCTCAGGACCCTAGTAAAACCTGACCCAAGTCCTTGTTTTACAACACACACAATAATTGTATCAAGGAGTGCAGCGGTAACTAATTTTAGTTATGCATAATCTGTTTTTCTCCAAGTATAACAGAAATTGAATAATACCTCTCTGTGGGAGAGCTCCTCTAGTGCAGATATGTCCTTCTTTGCAGCCAGATCCTTAACCATGGTAATGAGAGAACGATATTGATAGAATGGAGCATTCTGAAATCACAAAGAAGCAGCAATTAATTTGTGTTAAGAAAGTAAACAGATTAAGGGGCCTGTATTTATTATTCAAATTCTTATATTTTTATTTTAACCTGCATTTTATCCATAAAATAGCGCGCATAACCACTTCTGGGTCATTGATAAATAATATATTCAATTTCTTCAGAATATGTGTGTGCGGGCATGGTTTGATTACAGATTACAGTAGAAATTCTTCTTGTAGCATTTTCATATATGTTTCTTCTACACATTAACCTCTTCAATTCCAACATTTTCTCATATCCCAAACAATTAAGCATCATGATAACTATTGGGGTTTTATGCTTAAGGCAATTCGCACCTTTACCAAAGTCTATCCGCCATCCACTTGCCCTACTTCAGCTATCATAGCATAGTCATTTTTTATTGAAATATTTAATGTCTAAGGATTGTCAATTTTTTCATCAAGTATTAGATAATCATGAAAAGGGAAAATGAACTCCATCATGTGCAATTATTTGTGTTGATGCTGGTGCATGCTAATACAAATACTCGACATTCCTTTACAATTAGCATAAAAAGAAATCTGTAGCACCAAGTCATCTATTACTTTGAATTTTTTTTTTTTAAACCTTTAACGACAAATATTTCATCTTCAGAAAATGGAAAAACAACCCACAGCTTTAGCAGTATTATTAAAGAAAATCAGCAAAAATCAAACCTAAAAGAGAAGTATTCCTCAAATTTAATATTTTTAATATATTACGGTAAAATATTACCATACCCCATTTTCACGCCCTTTTCTCAGCTCAACAAGGCTCTCATATGCTTTATCCCTCTTTTGGCTCATTAGTGCCAGCTCCTCCTGCAAGGAACCTATCTCATTCTCGATGGACTTCAGATCTTCTTCAAGAAGTTTTATTTTTGACCAGATTGCCTGCTGCTCCTTTCTCACCCCATCCAAATCACCACCTAGAAGCTAAAAGAAAAGCAATCATGGGCATCAATAGATTCCATAAGTGTCCATCAAGAGCAAGAAAGATCTTCACAAAAGATAAAAAGACCATAGGCACAAAAAGAAAGGGTTCTTTGAAAAGATCAATAGCTCAAAGTGAGTCAATTTACAGAATAGTCAATTAAGAAAAATATGGATACACCTCAATATGTAGAAGAACCAAAAATATCCCACCTCCATGCATGAAAAGAACATCCTTTCTCATGCACAGCCACATAATCACAATTCACTCACACTAACGTAAAAAGATAAATGAACTGATTCAAAAAGTTTAAGGGCAGGGTGGAGTAACATCATTGTTGCTACAATACCAAATCTTTCCAAGAAAGAAAAAGGAACATAGACATGATAGAAATGGTTTATGGCGCTTCATTTATTTATTCTACAGTCTACAGACTCTAAACACTCAACAAGGTGGGAATACCTAAAGGTAATCAAGGAACAAGAAGAAAGAAATGAGAATAAGAAAATAAAAATAAAAATAAAAATAAATGAAACAGCAATATGGAATGATATTTGCTCAAGAATATGAAATAACTCAATAATGAATATCAAAGCTTGAGCTCATCAAACAATAAAAAATGAACAGAAAAATAAAGACCAAATAGTTAGTGCACCAATTTTACTTTGACATGGTCTTGAATTTCATCTTCTGGGCCTAAGGACTCCTGGATTTTTGTTTGCATGGCTTCATGAGCAATGACTTTCTCCCGGGTCCCCTCAAGTTGTTTTATATCTCTGAGCATTTGTTTCTCCTCCACCAAAGTGTTGCTTTCATGTTGTATGCAGTATTGCAAACTCTGAATCTGTTTCAAGAAAACAACAAAATTAAAAGGTTCGAAGTATAGCAATAAGAATAAAAATGTGTACATTTGAGTTGAGAATTTAGATTCTGCTTACACGCTCATTTAGCTCTCTCTCTGATGAGCATAACCCCATACCCCTTTCCCTATTAGGGTTGTTTGCATTACGAAGCTTCCCCAAGGCTGCTCGGAGGGGTTCCAGCTCCTTCTTCTTCTCATCTAGTGCCTTTCTGTATTCCTTTTGTTGGGAAGTTAAAGGCTTCAGCTTTTCGATCACTTGCACTCGTTCTGCCTGCAAATCAATCAATGCCAATTGTAACAGATCAAAAACGTAGAACTAGAATCCATCAAAGGCTCCGTACACAGTTGATTTATAAGTACGCTAACAAGAATGAATCATTTTGATCGCAACTCTTTTGCATGGCCAAATTTGTACATGACAGTTCCAGGTACACTATTATAGACCTGAATATTCTGCATTCAAAGTGCACAACTATGCTATGTTTTGAGTTAGATACTTTCAAATGGCCTTAAAAAAAGGAAATGAATGCTTTTTATTTAATATCAATTTGGATGCAGATGCAATGGAACTCTTGACATCACATTGTTGCAAGCGTCACCGAGAGAGCACCTCTGCCTAGAAGGCCCTTCTCAAAAGAACTAGATTACTTCACAAATTAACAATTGGGCGACAATTAAGGTAATGTGGAAAGCTTAACTTCAAGCATAATTCTTTTGGGGGGTCAGGAATCAGGAGTATGAATGTAATATTCCTCTAATACTCCCTCCTTACTCATTAAGTAAATATCTTTATTATCTTTTTAATTTCTCGAGCATTTTTCATTTTCAAGAATCTATAATACATAAAAAAAGCGAGCTCCCTTTGGAGCTGCGCATCAAAAAAGTATATCTTCGTAGCTTTGTTAGGTTAGGAATGAGATTACTTAAAAAGTGAAAATCTTGGTGATCATACGGATTTGTAAATTTATAGTTCATATACCCTTATTCCTTTGAAAAAGAATTTTATTTGATGTTTAATTTCTTTAAAATAGATAAAAAAAATTTCTTATCGGTGAAATTCCTGTTGTGAGTATTTTCCAGGAGGGTCTAAATAATAGTACAAGCAATGCGCTCCACCAAAACATCCATGTTTTGCATGTTAAAGGAGCCCGCCGCCTCAACCATTGAAAACACCAAAATTTCGGTGATACGATAGAATTAAAGTAGCCTCATGTGAGGAGCTTATATAGTATACATATAATATACAATATGTAAGATACTATAATTTCATAAAATACATTAATTACATACTATAATTTTATAAAATATATTAAGTAATAATATAATATTATATAATGTATATAATATATTATACTATATTAAGGGAAAAAGTTTATATAGAGCCAAGGCTCTAAACAATCAAATTAGAGCCCACATCAAAAATTTCACTCTAAGAGGTTGTTTCGATGCCCAAATATCCTCAAATTGATCATCTTGACATCAAGATGCATGGACATGAGAAAAAAATGGATTTCAAGTTTTGGAAATAGTACATCTTGTAACACATTTTTTGACCGTCAATTTTCAAGACTTTCAAGTTTTCATAGATTTGCTCTATCTACACTATTTTCGAAGCTTTAAATTTTATTATTAAAGATGAAAATATATATTAAGGCTATCAGAAAGATTTCTAGTTTTGAAACCACATTTCTCGACACTATTTGAAGGTGTGCTTTACTTTGATTGTTTAGAGCCTCGGTTCTATACAAACCGCACCCTATATTAAATAATATACATAATATGTCCAAATATCGTTTAACCTTATTCATTATATAATATATAAATATAATGAATAACTATATTAGTTATTTTTAAGGTGAAAAACGTCCAAATTAGTATTTCCTAGAAAATTGAGCCAGGGAATTCTAATTATTTATACTATTTTTCTTATATTATTTCTATGGCTTTGTACTCTGAGAAGCAGATCCATAGGACTACTTTAATGGGTTTTCAGGGTCTAATAAAAAAGCCCACTCTTTGAAACTTATAGAGAACAAAATTAGGGGAAAAGAGTGGAACAACTAAACTAGGGCAAAATTGGTGAAAAGGAAAAGAAGACCATGTTATTAACTCCTATGTTTAAAGATCAATAAGTAGAACAGAATAAATAAATTACGACAACATTAACAAATAGGAAAAGAATACCATATTACTAACCCATGTTTAAAGAGTAGGAATGAAATCCATGTTATAATTTGTAGGAGTTTAAAAAAAACATGATGGTTTAATGGCATCATCATATGAGGGCTCGAGGTCATACGATAATTAAGATATTTATGAGAATTCCTATCATTATGCGAAAGTCATTCCATAAATATTGTTTTCATATTTTTCGTGAAAAAAAAATTGTGAAAAAAATTGACCAAAATACCCCTAAAACTTTTCATTTATTTGGAGCATGTGGTCAATTTATTTCATGTAAAATATTGTTTTCATATTTTTCGTGGATTCGCCTATTTTTTATGAACACACGATTCAAATTTCAAATCATTCTGATTTGTAGAAAAAAAAGAAACACTACCGGACATCCGTGATTGTCAGATCGGCCCATATTCAATTTAGGCCGTTCGACGTTTACTGTAGCGGTACACGAATCGACGTACCGTAACATCTTCCATTTATATATGGTTTAACATATTATACTTTTTAAGTTGTAATTTTTGCCTTTTATGCAATCCCTTAAATTGTCTTATATTATGCAATCCCCATAGACCAGCTTTGCTCTATGGGAAAGAATGTTGGGTGGTCAAAAAACAATATATTCATATAATGAGTGTAGAGAAGATAAGGATGTTGAGATAGATGAGTGGCAAGACAAGAAGAGATAGAATTTGAAATGAATACATTCGGGAAACTTTAGGCGTGGCATCAATAGGCGATAAGATGAGAGATAATAGACTTAGGTGGGCTAGCCATGTGTGTCGTAGACCCAGTACAAAACCTGTTAGGAGATGTGAGTTAGTTTAAGTGGAAGGCTCAAACTGTGCAAAGGATTGACCCAAAAGGACATGGTTGAAAGTAATGAGAAAGGATACGGGGACTTATGGCCTCACTGACGGTTTGGCCCTCAATAGAGTAGAATGGCGGATCAGGATTCATGTAGCCGACCCCAATTAGTTGGGGAAAGGCTTTGACAATGATGATGATTATGCAATCGCTATTAAATATATATGACATATTTTTTATAAAATAAAATTAAGTAAAATTCCTGAAATAATAATAACAATTGCTAAAACTTTTCTCATTTATTGTGGTATCCATGAGTACATTAGATAATTTCTAAGAAAAAAACAGAAATATCAGAGTGGTATACTAAAAACACGTGTGGAACATGTGTCCCTCACCAGTTTAAAATAAAACCCCAAATTGTTTTATTAGTGAGATAATCCCTTAATTATAATACCCCTTTTGTTTTGCTTAAACCCAAAATAATCATGGTTCCTTTAATATTTCATCATTTTCTGTGTTGTCTTAAATGAAAAAAAGGGGCCAATTTTATTGTTTTAATAGTCTTCCACTTTGTTAGCATTTCTTCTTTTATATAGTTTTCTCAACTGCTCCTTCATAGTGTTTCTTTGTCTATGTAGTTTTTTGTTCCTAGAATAAGCACAACTGCAGGCTGTCCCGTATTTTCAATATCCAATTAAGAAAATGCAGAATAAACAATCATTTTGAAGCAATTTATACAATTAAATATAAGTGTGAGTCAATGACTACAAAGGGCAACAGTAACCACCCAAAATTTAAGAAGAGAGTGTAAATCAAAATAGATATTGAACAACAAATGTAATATGCAAGTCAAGAAGGATAATCTCCATCAAATAACTTTCCTTACCCTTTTAGCTTTCAAGGCTTCGGTTATCTGATAGCGATCTTGATTTTTTTTTTGGAGTTCTTTGTCCGCCTGTTCAATTTTTATTTTTAACTTGGGATCTTCATAGCTTCGAAATCTGATGAAATAAAAGGTATGGACCTTTGTTTCAGGCCACTCATCTGATGCATCCTTTGGAAAACTGATGTCTCCAACTCCTTCGGCTCCACCTTTAATGGAGCCATTTGCACCATGAGAACCATCCAGCACATCAAACTTCATTGCGGGTTCAGCTTCAGAACTCTGAACAGGCTTTCCACCCTCAGTTTCATGAGAAAGAGTATTCTCTACTTCCTTTCCCTCCTCTGCAGGCACTTGGGTTGCCAAAATTTCTACACCCATGTTCTCCACTTGCTCTCTTGAAAACAAAATTGCATAGAAAACATTACAACATGTCGAAGAGCCACAATGAATCCATGTCAAATTACTACTATTTAAATGTACAAAAGAACTCAAATACAAAGCTAGGGATGAACTAATCAGCGGGAAGCGGAGACCAAAGCAAAAAAAAAAAAAGGCATCAGAGCAAGAACATATTCTATAACATTTTACAACAGCCACATCAAGAGATAAGATGGAATATTGTATACAAACTTCCTGACCCATAATTTGTGCCTGCAAGAATCAAGGAGCCTAAATTGAGACATAGTACTATCAGAATAAGTAAAATAAATGGAAAGAAAACTATGGGATAGAACTCAAAGAAATTGGGTAAACAACAATCCTGGCATTTCTGGGAAATTAGACTCATTTGGCATCTATCAATCCAGCAAAATCAACAAAGTACGAAAAATATGAAAGATCACTGAAGTAGGAACAAGATATGAAAGATTTGAATCTTTAGATATGAAAGATCACTGAAGTAGGAACAAAATCAACGAAGTGTCAACTATATCCTAAAATTAGAACTTAGAAGCAAGACAGACCTTTCTAAGAAGACAGAAATCAACAGTCATCGAAAGTTTCAAAAAAAAATAGTGCAACTTCCCCCTGTTTGTAGCATAAATCAGTTAAAGAAATGACTATTGTGGCCTAGGCAAATCCAGATAGTTGACCAAACATGGACCTTTTTCTGGCAGATATGACAAAAATTCATGAAGTAATAAAAATATCCTGGATTCATCTAAGTTTAATGCCTCAGAGCTCGGATATTCTGAGCTAAAGTTTGCAAAATAAAATAAATGTACCCAAATTTCGACAAAATTTTCACAAACAAAACAGTGAGACGATAGTCAAATACGCAGGCATTATAAGTACTGTGTGAAAGTAACCAAGTCCTCAATTAAATGATTGATCAAAAATTAAAAAGAAACATTACCAAAAAGAAGAAAAGCGATCATCGAATCTCACTAAACTGACTCTCAAAAAAAAAAAAAATCCTTGATTCTTCAAATACCCAACAAAGAAAAACTTAAATATACATGTATCAAGTATTAACAAGCTCAAACAATTAAGGGAATTTCTGGCTTAATTGATGAAAATATAAAACCTACCAAAATGAATAGAAAAAACCTCATATAAAATAGCAGAAAACAAAACATCATCCCCCGCATGCAAACAGAAACTAATGAACACTGAAAATTTGATCAAATCAATGAAAATATCCATTAAAATAAACAAAGTTCAATCTGGTAAATAATATCAATTGCCATTATTTTAGTTTTGATTCAACCAAAAATATATATTGAAGATCGCAATCCATGACTTATATCATGCAAATATCATCACACGATTGCCAAAAATAACTAAAATCCCCAAATTTAACCAATTTACAAGCATCAATGTCCCTATATGCAAAGTATACCAGAATTAGCCCTAATAACACCATATTCTCCATCAAATATTCAAGAAATCCATCCTAATTTTCGTATCTCAGCTAAAGAAATAGGATAATCACCACTTATCTGAAACAAAAACACGACAAACCACAAAACACAATAAACAAATGCTAGAACACACGCAAATGCAACAAATCATGAACACGACCCAAAAAATCACCAGAAAACTCCACAAAAATCAACAAATGAAAGAAGAAAAAGCAGTAAAAGAAAAGATTTGATCTTTACCTGAAAATGCAGAAGATCTCAGATCCCTTGTGTCCCCTAGTGCAGATCTAGAGCTCGACAGGCGGACGGAAAAGGGCAAACAAAAACAAAGGGTTAAGTCGAAGATCCAAGGGCCTATTTTATTGGTAAAAATGGGTGAGGCTAAAAACGAAACAAACGTTAATGACCCGGATGCACTTTTCTTACATATTGCAAGGTTTTTTGACAGGATCTTTTTGGAAAATTGACTAGATTACCCTCATAATCGTTTAGAAATATCCGAAACATTTGTTTCCTTATTTGAACCCTTGAGTCCAAAGGGTACCCTTCGATTTGATCTAAATGGCTGGTATTATTACTATTCCCTCAATGAGGCGTAAAACTTACTTCGAAATCACAGGCGATGGGCATCCATCATGCCTCTTGTGCATGGTGTACAATACACAGCCGGGGCATACGCCGTCAATTGTGAAGTTGGATGGTGAAGATGGCTGGTAGTTTTAATTACGGGCATTTTAACTCACTCTTGTGGTTTGTTTTGACCGTCCATTTGGAGAGATAATCCTTGGGAGAGAATCGGCAATGGATGCCTCACCTCTATGTAGTGTATCACATGGTTATCAAGAGTTGGGGGCTACACCGGATTGGCAATTCAAGCAGTTCCACTGCCAACTGGTGTCTTAGCCAGTTTGATATGATAAAAATTATGTTTAGTAAAAAAGTTTGCCAAATCTAGTTTTTAATCAGTATGGCCTCCTGCTTTTGACGAATTCAATCATATAAAAAAAGTGAGCCACTTTTTTTCTAATATATTTACTTATTTTAAAACTATTGCCGAATCTCTCCCACGACAATCAAATGATTTGATCAAATGATTTGATCCGCAAACCAGATTGGTTTTGATTTGATCCGCAAATTAGCTTGGATTTGATCCGCAATCAGCTTGGTTTTGATTGAATTAGACCCTCATTAATTCGATGAGCAGGCAAAATTGTTATGCCAGACGAATATAACATGTTTTAAGGTATATTTATCAAACATATACGTTATATAGTATAGGTGTAGATATAGCTATTAATGAAAGTTATTATTGTGTTTTTTTTAGTTTTAAAAATTGCTGAGTTAACTCAGAATCTCTCAAGTCGACATATAATTGAGGGGTCGGCATTTCCATTTGAGGATCCCTGGGATGACCAAACCGATTTCTAGAACCATGGTGTTTTACTAGAGAGAAGTATCGTATGCCACACTATACACACTAGGGCCAAATCTTTGTATAGGATTCCCAATAGAATGGAGATGAATCGTAGACTTTTTTCGACTTATAATCCAGTTGATATGATGAAGTGTGGCTCATCTCCACCGTCTATTATTAAGAGTGAATTGTTGATAGATGATATAGCTTACGTGTATCTATGTCAAAATGATTAAATGTCCTCCTCCTTACAGCGAATATGGCGTCTAGTTTGTGGATGTATACGTATCATTAGAACCAGTGTTTAAAAAAACGCCAAGTCAAACCGGACTCGTCCGGTTCGACTCGAGAATCGCCATGGACGGATTGAATCGGCGAAAAAAACGGGAATCGTCCGGTTCTAGAGAGAGCCGGACGATTTCTACACAGTGACGCCCCGATTCATTGTACGGAATCGACGAGTCATGTACGGATTTTTTTTTTTGTTTGTTTGTTTGTTTGTAATCCATGATAGATTTTTTTTTAATACTTGATCGATTTTTTTGTAATCCATGATCGAATTGTTTTTTTTTTTTTGTAATCCATGATCGAATTTTTTGTAATCCATGATCGAAATGTTTGTTTTTTTTTCTTGTAATCCATGATCGAATTTTTTTTTTTTTTTGTAACCCATGATAGAATTTTTTGTAATCCATGATCGAATGTTTTGTAATCCATGATCGAAATGTTTGTTTTTTTTTGTAATC